TTTTTTATATTCATGCCAGCTCAAACGATCTATTGGCTTGATTTATTGTTATGGTATCCACAAAATAAGTAGGATCCGATTTTTCCGTTTTTGTTGAAATAAAACTGAATCATATTTGCTGTTTACATATCAAAGTTTGCCAAATTGTTACAAAATGTTTGCCCACAGCAAGGCTACGTATCCCCAACATATTGTGCTAGGCACAGTATCACTGGACTGAGGGAGGGCGGTATTCCTCCTTGTGGGTCACCTGCTTGGCAATATGGGACGGGAAAACTGCAGGGGGTGAGGGCAGTTAAGTTGATGGTACAGACAGATAAGAGAGATCATTTTACAAATGTGAAACCTCAGTCCACAAAGGAAGAGGCGAAAGCTGAAACTTGGTGAGGTTTACAGAACAAAGGCAGTTATTTCTAGTTTCTTACTGACTCTCGAAGATACATTTAATAAAACAATTAATGCGTGTGTGTGTGTGTGTGTGTGTGTGTGTGTGTGTGTGTGTGTGTGTGTGTGTGTGTGTGTGTGTGTGTGTGTGTGAGAGAGAGGTAGAAGAAGAATTGTACAGCATAAAAATGGCTACGTATGTAATTGGGGTAGATATGTTGAATGCCCGGCCAGTATGACCTTTGAGTCACTACAGTTTCAGTCATTAAAATGCGTAAAACAGTATTTGAGTGAAAGAAAACACTATAAGTGAGTGAAACAAAAGACCTCAGTACAGGCACACCCAGTCCCCCAACCCTAAGTCTGCATGTACCAATACTCATACCTGCCACATCCTCAACCACTTAACTTACTCACACAATCATCTGACAACATGTTCGCCAACCCTCGTATCACAACGCATGCACGCATGCACGTACGAACACACACACACACACACACACACACACACACACACACACACACACACACACACACACACACACACACACACACACACACACACACACACACACACACACACACACACACACACACACACACACACACACACACACACACACACACACCACATTCTTCTTTCCCCACCATTATGTCTACGTCAGCCAGCATGGATCCATGCGCATGCTTTCATACATAATCCATCCTCCCAACATTCCCCAACATCCATCGAACTATAACTATATCCGCACTCATGTATCGGTATTCGTGCTTTCATACATACATACACCCCACTACCATTCCCCTACATCCACCGCAGTATAACTATGACTATAACCGCCTTCGTGCATCCGCACTTATGTTCACATTGCATTGCATATGCATCGAATTACACGTTTAAAATATCGTAAATATTTTACAACATGTACATATTATATATTAGCAAACAGATATTATTATAACGCAATAGATTTCATCCGTCAAAACATCACAGAAAGAGGGGCAGCCTGGAATTTTACAATGGCATCTGAATGCACTAAGACGTTCAACTCCAACTCTGGAGGTGAGAGTTGCGGAAGATTACGGTAAACTTCAGTTACAGATCTCCATTACGAATATCTAAAGTATGAATAAAGATCACAGCTTGCTATGACGTGTACTTCATGCCTGCAGAATTAGCAATGTCCTTAGCTCTAAATTGTATGTCTAAATGCTTATGTAGACAAAGACCCAAATGTATATAGGCATGACCATATTATATTCTACGCAAATATCACCACATTTAAAAGCAAACCTAGATTGAGTCTTTGAAGGGCGTTAAGAACTGATACACACAAGGAAAAATATTTATGGATGTCAACGGAGGAACACTGCGTTTCGGAATATATACTTTCTCCTTCATCAGGTGCATATTATTAAATGCTATGAGGCAGAGAACATATATTTGTACCTGTAAGAACAACAAAAGTAAAACGATAGCAAAGAAGGGAACGCAACAAGGGAAGCCAACAGATAACTGGCATGGCGCTGATTACCGCGCCTCCCGTTTGCCCATTGTCCATTTCCCATTACCAATCATTCATAAGTTAAGTTCTGGCTTTAATTTGTCCATTGATAATCAACCATCAACGTCTATTATCTCCACCCTATAGATATGTAGTTTACTGAGAAAGTGGTATCCAAATATAATGTGTGTTACTTTTGACCACTTTCTTAAAGGCATTGTTGGTTCAAAGCTTTCGGTTTTAGAAGCCGTGCCATTTTTCTCTTGTCAGAGAAGTACACAAAGTATACGTCATCTGGACTAACATTTTTGGTTCGGTGGCTGGGTTAGATCGCCAACTTTGTGTTCTGGCGATTGGGTGCCTCACTCACAGTGTGGGTTCAAATCCCGGACGGGACTCAACCCAAGAACGTACGTGAATCTGTACTTTACTCAGAAAGTGTTATCCCAATTATAACATTTGTTGTCAAGAAAACACAATAAATGTATATTCGGCTTTGGATGGGTAATGATATCACAGACATATACGGATATTGATGATGACTGGGAGGAGCTTCGTAACGCACGTCTTCTCAATTCAGGGATTGGTAAATCCAAATATGTGTGTGCGCGTGCGTGCGTGCGTGCGTGCGTGCGTGCGCGCGTGCGTGCGTGCGTGCGTAAATGTGGGCCTGTTGGATGTTACATAAAACATTCATCTTGAGCGGGATGGTAGTTCGAGTTGGATTAGCATGTTAACTATAATTATGATCTTCTTTAGGCAGAGAATGCCGCTCATGAATGTATTGATGAAATTCCTAGGTACATGGGGCCTTTTCGTCCCCAGGAATACCCATAGTGGAGACTTCAATGGGGATAGGGTGTACACAATGTGCTACCTGGTAGATTGTGTGCCATCAGACCGGACAACGTTGGTCTTTGACTGATTGTGGCGTTAAACACTCTTATTCATTTACTTATATCGGAAATTGAATGTTCATCTTAATTGTTATTGTTGAACATGTAATATATTTTTAAAGAAATAAAACAGTGACATAATAACTACAACTTTATGTGAGCGCGAGTAGCTTTTTTGGTATGAGATGAATAAGTCTTATAAAGTTGTAAGCTTCTTCACAACCGCGTAACTATGAATTGACTTTATTGGGTAATCAAAAAAGAGATAGGACCTAAAATAGCCAAATTTCATAAGATTTCACTTGTCCACCATCTTGGATGCAAGGTGAAAACATTTCAGCGCGTTTGAAGCCACTGAGAATGCCCCCTGCAGAGTTGGACGAACATTCTGCGGTGGCGCGGCTGAGTTGACCAGAGGCTATCAGCAGTATTTCCTGTCCAGGTTATTTAGGTCAGTTGTTTGTGTGTGTGTGTGTGTGTGTGTGTGTGTGCGTGTGTGTGTGTGCGTGTGTGTGTGTTTGCGTGCGTGCGTAAGTGCGTGCGTGCGTGCATGTGGGGGGCGGGGGCGTGGGGGGGGGGGGGGGGCGTGGGGGTGAGATTGGGGGGATGATAGATTTAGCAACAAGTAAGGTCATCTTGAGTGGGAGGGTATTCGCAGATGGATTAGCATATGAACTATGATTCTCTTTAGGCAGAAAATGAGGATCCACGATGTTCGACCTGGTAGAAGTGTATTATCAAACCTCACAGCATTGGTTTTTTGACTGACTGTAGCGTCAAAACATACTCATTCATTTACTTGAACTGAATGTTCATCTCAATTGTTATGGATAGTCACGGAGCCATGATCCAGAGTACAGGGTGTCATTAGATAGAAATAAACTAAGTAATAATAGGATTACCAGAAAAACAGGGTTTTACACACAAGCCATAAACTTCGCTCATTAACACCAGAGTAAGTCAGTACAAGATTGAAAACTGCCCCATAATTATGTATGACATGCTTGTCGGGTATTGCTACATATATATGTGAAAACAAAGTTATTAAAATGAAGAGCAAAACTGATGAAAGTTAACAATAAACGTGTATACGTGTTATATCGTCTCTGCAAAAATAATGATTGTTTGTCTTTAGTATTAACATTCAAATACGTTATATCTGTATTAGCGATATTGTCTTTGTTCCAACGGTGAGTCAGCGTTAGCCGTACTATCTCGTAGTATAATTGTCTTTCTGAAGACATCACGATACAGTTTTTACGATGCATCACGTCTGCACTAGCGCTGGATAACAGCCTTGTGTTTGGGTGTTTCAGTGGTTTAAATCGCTGCTCTTGATATTGTTGATTAAACTTTGATACTATGAACAATATAATGTTATGTGAGAGGTTGACTTTAGAACGGTAACATACTAATAGTATATAGGATGACATAAACAGAACAATGAGAAGTTCGTCCAGATTAGTGTATAGGCAACATTTAATAATTAAAATAATTACATTCAACAACTCCCCTTTTAAGTCCATTTTCCTGACTTATAAGTAAATGCAAGAACAATCGGCCTGAGTACAATGTAGAGTTCTTGTCCACTTCCATATGACTATATAGCATACAATAAGCTATCGGGTCCCGTTTAGATCGGTTTGGGTGGCAGCCTAGATAGCCATAGAATAGTTTCATCTTGGAATCTCCCATATCACTGGGGATCCTCTTCAATTTAAATGGAGTTACTCGTTACGATTCCGAACCTTCACGTGACTGTGTTTATGAACCATTGTCAAATAGTGGTGACATTAAATCTAGGAAACAATACGCGAAATCGCGCATGCACAGAACGGAAAATTTGGTCAAGGCATTAAGTAGTCCGCATGCGCAGAACGATTGATTTCAGTACTTCCGCTAAGCGCTTCGAGTGCAGCGTCAAACGCGGGCCTGTAATCTAACACGCGGGTACTGACAAATGAAATCTGAGAAGTAGAAATACCGGTAGACGCTGTTGCTTGATTGACAATGTCAATCAAGAAAGGGAGGAGCTTAACGCTATCGTTCTCTCCCAGTAAATTTCGATGTCAAATAACGACGTTATTTGGACGGAAAAACGATGGTTTGAAAACGTCCAAATAACGTCGTTTTTCCGTCCAATGACCATATACGGAAAAAAACGACGTTTTCGTGTTTGCAGTGATATATACATATTGATTCAGCTTTTACTTACTTTTTCCTCTTAATCTTCTCAACGGCTCTCTAAAGAAAAAACGATATTTAGTATTATTTACAGATAAGCTGTTATATGTAGAACATTCCACACTTTGTGTCTATGCAATAGCTTTCATTTCATCATTGGTGATCTTTCGGTAGTTATAAGAGGTCTTAAAGATGTTCGATTGGTTGAGAATGAGTGAATGATCATTGCTTAACTCTTCACCAATCATTCGCTGCGAGAAATGTCTATAATATTACCATATGTATGCCACCACAACAAAACCAATGCTGAAAATCACTAACATTTCAGTCAAATATCACATTCAAGAGTAAAACTACCGACTGCTCAAATAAAGATCTGTATCTCATCTCAGAGTTTGATTTCTTTAATTTGTTGTGGTACGGGAAATGATGTTACTAGTCCATGCAAATAAGAAGAAAACAACATCTCACCGAAAGTAGACAACAGCACACATTGCAACTGCTATAACAGCAATTAGGAAGAGTACAAGTCCAACGATGAGGTTTACATTCTGGTGTCCGGCTGCAATAGTAACGGGTAACAGGTAATAGGTGTGCAGGTACAATAGAGGAGGTAACAATATTACAGGAATAGTGTCAATATTGATAGTCATGTTATGATGAAGGTTAATATGATGACGACGGCTTGGAGTGTTCAGGAAATATGGAAATGGAAATACCAAGCAACTAGGTATAAAAAACATTTCATTGAAAAGAAATGTATAAAAAAGCAGTTCTAAAACATATACATGACAAATCTGTGGTACAAACTATCTGCAAGGTTACAAGGCGAGAGGAGCTCTACGACTGCAATGCCCCTTCTTCAAAATAGATCACTTAGTGAAATAATAGCAACATGTGCTCATAGAAAAGGGCATATGTGCATATATCACTTTCCAGCAGAACATTATATTAAACTCATGACGATCTAGTTGTTGGGCTGGGCAAAGTGAAATGGGGTTTAACGTCGCGTTCAAGTTATTTCACTTATATAGCGAAGTAAATGCACTACTCTGTATTTTATAGCTAGCCTACTGATATACCAGATTAGTTGGTTTGCTGTTTTACGCCGCACTAAGCAATATTCCAGCTATATGACAGTGCTCTGGACCAGACAATCCAGTGATTGATATCATGAGCATTGATCCACGCTATACGGATCGATGATATGCTTCAAATAAGTCAGCGAGCCTGACAACCCGATCCCGCTAGTCGCCTCTTACGACAAGCACCGTCGCCTTTAGGGCAAGCATGGGTCGCTGAAGACCTGTTCTGTCCCGGATCTTCATGGGTCAGCTGACAAGGAAGGATAACAGCTATGATATTGGAATCGAACTGCCGACCTTCCTCCCTCCAGGCAGAGAGTAATGTGCAACGTGTGCATTTGTGTCCATACCACATTATAGCGTTTAGCTAACTCTATAATAGATGGTAAAGTTCGTGATCGAGTTGTTGCCAACTTACCATACATTACTTGGTTTAATAATCTGAATTACATCATGACAGAATTACCTTCAGAAACTTCACAATATTCGCCACTTCGTCCGTCAAAACAGCCATGAGTACAGGAACCATTGACATGATGACACGTGGCATTGACACAGTGGATGCTGCATTCATCGTTACACTGTTCACCGAACATTCCATCATCACATTCTGAAACATTGGAAATCTGTTAGTATGCACCCGTTTTGCGAACTCCTAATATCACAGACGGAAACTCACAGTGATTCTAGAGTGTGGGTTCTTTAATGTTGTTTCCATTGTGTGGATTTCATTTGGTTATTGTGGTTTGCAGATATTTACCTCCTAACAATTTCAACACACTTAATCGATGCAAGTTTGGATAAATTATCAAAATATCTTTAAAAGTTCAACAGACACTGGTATGTATTTACCTTCTTGCACTAACCTATTGCCCTTTTTGCACTTACCTATTGCACTTTATGCACTTACCTACTGCACTTTGTGCACTTACCTATTGCTCTTTTTGCACTTACCTATTGCACTTTATGCACTCACCTACTGCACTTTTCGCACCTACCTATTGCCCTTGTTGCACCTACCTATTGCCACTTTTTCACATACCTATTGCTCTTTTTGCACTTACCTATTGCACTTCTGCACTCACCCTATTGACACGCTAATCCGAGCAAGAATGATTTGTTGCAAACTATTATTCATTGTATTCTTCATATACGTATGTATCAACACTACAGACGATGTAGATTCTCCAAGGATTACCTTTGTCGCATCTTGATGTGTTCTGGTCCTTGTGTTCCCATCCATCCAGACACATGTCACAACGTCCAGTGGTCCTGTCACAAGTCTGGTTGACACATCCTCTTGAGCAATTCAGCACACAGTTCTCTCCGTGTGCCCCAGGGGAACAGACTGGTTGATGATAATAAGTATGGACATTTGATTTGAGATTTATTTGTTTAGCTGGTAAACTGGCAGTTTATGCAAAGCTGTCAGTCCCATGCCATGACGCATTTTGATATATCCAATGTGTAATTTGTTCATTGTTGAGGTTTCCACGAAGTTTACTGAGGGCATGGTGGCAAGATATTTGTCATGTGTTCACCCGAATTGTAAGTTTTAAAGTTTATATTATACCGGCGATATAATTGTTAGAGTAATCAACAAAACTAAATATGTTTTAGTACTCATTCTATATCGAATGAATAACTATTTTTCTTTTCAGCTGAAGACTCTTTGCATTCACAGATTGAAAACCATGACAGAAATCTGTTTCTTGCACAGGGACATTTTTAGCTCATTTGATGCGGAAACAAACTTAAGTTCTACAGATCGGAACAGATAAATGAATAAAGCAGGCAGTAAATGATATGCCTTACATTGACCACTGTCCTAATACTCGTATATAAGACTTGTTCGCACCATTGGTATACCTGTGAGGGAATGACCTACTCTGAATTTAATCCTTTACATTATTATATATTTTGACGGATATATTTTCAACAATAATGTTTGGAGATGATTGAGAATAAAATGTTGTATGACAATGACTATCAACACAGGGTGCGTTTTGGAGTAATACAGAAAATAGTCAATAATTACAGATATATTGTTTGTGTTAAATTGCAGTGTATTTCATTGGTGGACAATTATTGTAACTGTAATTACATTGTTTCTGTTGAGATTCGATAGAAGCTAATAGCATTGTATTTGGACAGTGATTAGTTGTCAGGAATGTCGTACTGTTTAATGTTAGCAGTTTTGACGAAGTTATTATATTTAGATGCTAGTATAATGTGTTAACTTCCGGAATACCATGGACTGTGATAGCGTTTTATAGAAATCTGTAGAATATGTAGAATTTGTGATGGCACTGTGTAGAAATTTCCAGGAGCCAGTTAGACTAAAAAAGGGGATAAAAGCATGCCTCTCGTATCTCTCACACATTTCATTACATCAAGACAAGCTTTCGTGTGCAGATCAACCATCACCCAGGATTCCCTGGCTAGGCCTTTCTCGGAAGCTTGACCACTGTCGCTGCTTGGTGAATATACTGTGATCACTGACTTTTCCTATCACCAAAATATTTTTGTATTTGATAACTACTGCCATCATATTATATACTGTCATTAAATATTGTACTACCACTCTATTGTGCACCGCCATTGTAATTGATGTGCCGTAATTTGTATTGATTTGTAAACCTAGTTAATTTTGTAATACAGTTGTTAATTGCACACCATTTGTTGTTTGTTTGTTGGTTTCACACTAAATTCATTTACGTACAGATTTCTGATTTTACCACAGTTTGACACGTACTTTATTCACATGATGAAGTTTACGCAGGAAAGAATGTTCATAAGGAAAAGGGATGTTGATTTACGTTTTGGTGGCATGATTTATTATGTCTGCCCGTATATGACGAGATGGCTGGGTTTATAAACCCCCAATCACAAAAGGATCGATATATATATCCATTTATGCTCTTAACATTAAGTAGGTATTATCAAAAATAAATGTCATGTTAGGTCGTCAGCATGAAGATTTGCAAGAAATGACTGGTATGTTTCCGAAACTGTTCTAGAATGGCCCAAAACATGTCTCAAATCAAACAGTTTCAAACAGTCTTCTGACTACACCTAACAGAAAGATCAACTTTGGAAGATGATTGCCAGTGACGCCCATGCAACACTTTGGACTTTCTTCCAACGTGAAGCTGACACGCCGTGATGTAACTGGAATACTGTTAAAAGCAGCGTTAAACCCGACTCACTAACTCGCTAAATAAGCATCATGATCTCATATTGTATTATGACAGTTTTAAATTAATGATGCCTCAAAACTTTTTTCAAACGAAGGTAATAACTGATACACAGCGTACCGTCTACACAGTTTTCTCCAGTCCACCCAGCTCTACACGAAGTTCCACAACTTCCATTGATAGAGTCGCATTTCTCAGGCTGACATCCTTCATGGCACTGATACCTGCAGTCCTGGCCATATATACCCGATCGACATCCTGTAATGAAAGTCAGAACACATGTGACTAACAACGTAACAACGTACTTGTAAAATATGACTGCAGTGCCGCAGATAAAGACAAACTTACGTGAAGTGCAGTTTTCCCCATGCCATCCAGAAACGCAGTTACTGGCACAACTCCCTGTCACGTGGTGGCAGCTAAGACATTCACGACGGCACGGCTTTCTACATCCAGATCCATATTGCCCTTTCCCGCATTCTTTGGAAAAGGAATAAAAATGATAACTATTCTGACGGCCTATTCTTAGCAACTTATGACCAAAAATACGGCAGCTATTCTTGAAGATGCCCCGACACCATCATTATCCTACTTATGATGATTGTAGTAGTTCGGCCTGAGGGGATCTTTTGTGACAGTATATCATAAGGCAATTCACCATTAAAGAAACTTCATAGCGTTAGATTCACGCAGATTCACGCAGGCATTAGGCATTTTTAAAGATGAACAATTAAAATGCTACTGAAGATAAATGCTGATATTTTGTTTGCGGGTGTTCTTATTCGCCACTGAGCGGTTTTCTCCCCAACACTTTACATACATACTAATCATTGATGCATATCATCGTATCACTCTTGTACTTTATACACATATCCAACAAGCTTTAATGAACATTCTACAGAATTAAAGAAATGCCGCCGATAAAGGTACATGTGTCTAAATCTAGGATAAGTGATAGTGTGAGAAAAAGCTGTTTTAGGTTAAATTAAGTGTGAATGTGGTGTACACGTCTCTAGGGAAAACATAGTGTGAAAGGTATGAGTGTATTGTAAGTTTCATTTCATTTATTTGTTGTTGAAAAAATCGTATGTGTTTATTTCATTCTTCGTGTGTGTTTCTCTCTATTATACGGTAGCCCATGATATAGATATGGCTGTTTTGGGATAGGACGAGTGGAGTACATGTAGTTAGCTTAATGCCAGACACGAATATCCCCCTATTGATCAACGAAGTACAACTAAACAACTATTATTTATACAACTGTTTATACGGCAGCATTAACTGAACCAGCAATCACAACACAATACAATCAATATATATCATTCATATATCTAGAAATCAGATTTAGCTTAAGCCCTAATGCTAATTGTTTGGCGGAAAGACAACACAATGGACAATGTCTTGACAATGGTAAGCATCATTCTACACATTTAAAAAAACAAGATTAACCATCTCACGAAGAAAACAAAATGATTGTGTAAGCATCCATTTTTTTTAAAACGTGAGGATACCGCTTAAAATCAATTGGTCTTCCCTCGTCTTTCTGTGTTGATATCTGATAGATCGTCTTCACTCGAAAAATCTAACCCGTTTTCATCGTTGCTGTCATGACTAGTTTGACTGACCAAGAGCTCATATTGATATGGAGAAATATGTATGAAGTTATCGAGCGAAAATTCAACGTTTGCATCGGTGTCATTGTCTGGTGATGCCATGACGAACGCTGGTAATCTACAGAAAGAGTGATCGTCTGCAAGTAATATCTCCACTGTGGCGTCAGGTCACGTGAGGACAACTCTGCTTATCAAGTTTCCTCAAACTTGTTTTAATATCATATAAATGATTTAATCCCAAACTTTGATTGTAATTCTCCTATAAACTTAGGACTATTATTCTTCCCTAGGTTGCCAACACTGTACATTATGCTTTCGACTCTGCTTTCAGCAGGGATTTGAACATCTAGACGTTCGTATGTGAATCTGAAAAGCATATTATACCAATTTTTCCTACAGCGGACGTTTTGTTCCGAATTCATGGCCCTGCATGAATTCAGTGATTTGTGCACCGAGACAACACATATGATCAACTTGCAAAGTGATGTGTTTTGAGGAGATTTATATATGTTGTCCCCGTGTACATTCTACGAAGTTAAACAGACCGAAGACGGGTGACGTTTTTACCATGTCCGCAAATTCCACCAACAGCCTTGATATCTCGTATTTTTGGTTTCCCTTATTTCTTTTAACGAGAACTATTAAAAGTGGGTTAGCAATAGAGAAAGAGGAAAGATTAAAGAGCACTGAACCCCCCCCCCCCAAACACACACACACAAACACACACACCTCATTTGGTGTCAAGGAAAGACGATATTATGAAAGTTTATCAAGCACAGGGCAAGACACGATGAGCCGATTTTTAGAAACGAGCTCAGTTTAAGACACATCTTACCCCGGTCCAAGCAGGGAAAATAGTCAAAGACTATCCAACATAGACACCAGCTACACCCTCAAGAACGCATTTAAGACAATCATCCATGTCACAGGCAAACTAAAACCTTGGGGTAAACCCGAATATGGGCGATATTATTAAATGTGCACCCTCATTAAACTTATGAACCGTTTAAACAGCTCTGGGGACAACAGCTGACGCCTTGTTACAAAAATACTCAGGTTTTCAATCGCCCTTCTGCCCCAACTCACTAAGGGTTGGGATTAATAATGGGATGTGGGGAAAAGTAGGAGTTTGATAGATAGCTGGCTTGGTGTGTAGGCTAGATGAGCTCGCGCCTTGTCATCAAGGCCACCCTATTGCACTTTAACAGAGTATGGGGGCGTATTTGTTTTCCAGCGTCTCAATTGACCAGATTGGAGGTATTCATCAACCCACTGAATTTTAAGGCTTGATGAAGAATGTGTACACTTTGGTTTTTGCATGACTTCAACAGGTGTTGTCTACTGGTGTTGTCTACTGGTGTTGTCAACTAGTTTTGTCAGCTGGTGTTGTCGAATAGTGTTGTCTACTGGTGTTGTCAACTGGTTTTGTCAACTGGCGCTGTCAACTGGCGTTGTCAGCTGGTGTTGTCAACTGGTGTTGTCTACTGGTGTTGTCAACTGGTTTTGTCAGCTGGTGTTGTCTTCTGGTGTTGTCAACTGGTTTTGTCAACTGGTTTTGTCAACTGGCGTTGTCAACTGGTGTTGTCAACTGGTTTTGTCTACTGGTGTTGTCAACTGGTGTTGTCAACTGGTTTTGTCAGCTGGTGTTGTCCACTGGTGTTGTCCACTGGTTTTGTCAACTGGTGTTGTCAACTGGTTTTGTCAACTGGTTTTGTCAGTTGGCGCTGTCAACTGGCGTTGTCAACTGGTGTTGTCAACTGGTTTTGTCTACTGGTGTTGTCAACTGGTGTTGTCAACTGGTTTTGTCAGCTGGTGTTGTCCACTGGTGTTGTCCACTGGTTTTGTCAACTGGTGTTGTCAACTGGTTTTGTCAACTGGTTTTGTCAGCTGGCGCTGTCAACTGGCGTTGTCAGCTGATGTTGTCTACTGGTGTTGTCAACTGGTGTTGTCCACTGGTTTTGTCAGCTGGTGTTGTCCACTGGTGTTGTCCACTGGTTTTGTCAACTGGTGTTGTCAACTGGTTTTGTCAACTGGTTTTGTCAGCTGGCGCTGTCAACTGGCGTTGTCAGCTGATGTTGTCTACTGGTGTAGTCAACTGGTGTTGTCAACTGGTTTTGTCAACTGGCGTTGTCAGCTGATGTTGTCTGCTGGTGTTCCACATATTTGAACAACTGATCATGGTATACAGAACTGTTGAAGTGTTTCATACTCAAATGATGACGTCATGACGATAATTAGCAAGATGTAAAAGACAATAGTTCAGCTTTGGTTGTTTATCAATTTGGGTAGGAGGCAAATGACATATCCCTTAAAACAATACACTCAACACTGAAAACGCTTGAAAAATGTTTACAAAATGGGTGTGACGGTTCAATCAAGGATTTAATTGTTGCTTGCCTTACTTAAAATGACGTAACATGTTTATTTTGATACTATGGCACAACAAAAAATGACCAAATGGACAATAGAAGTTCAATAGAAGATCCCCAATAAAATTAGGAACACGGGTATTTCGCATGCCTTTGGAACATGCATGTTGGTCATACTCGAGTTACATATTGATCAGTTGCATTCAAAACTTTCACTGTTTGATACATTCCTGATGATTTGCTGCACTATAAGACCCAGGTTTACAGTTTATGGTTTAACATTGCTTTCAACGGTATTGAGTAGATTTAGGACGCATTATAATTAACAAATATTTAAGTAACATAGAAATTAAATATTTTGATAGTTGGTCAACGAGTAATTATTGAATTGACATATTCACGTCAGATATTACACTACTGCATCTTGTTCACCTCCACAAAATTATTTCTAATATGTTCAGCTAATGTCAGTATGCATAGGTTGCCACGGGTGAAGGGAGAGATAAAAGTACAATATATATGAAGTAATATGTCGGGCCAGTAGACAAAGTCACAGCCAAAGGATGAGGAGGATACAGTTTTTGTTTTTTTTCCGTATGAAATTATTTACATCGTTGTGGAAAGTGACATGATGAAAAAAGTCTGTTGAATATGATATAGATTTGTTGATGATGTCAAGATGACCCATCCTCTCCCTTTTCGAGATGCATATATCTATTATTCCAGGACATTTCACTGCTTCAAACACACTGTTCATACATATAGTATTACGAATAGGCCTTCATTAGAGGAAATTGTTAATGCGAAGCCATTCACTCATAAGTAAAAATGAACTTAATATGTCATTAATATAAATTGAATTATCGGCTCTCGTCATACATACAACAGTTTAAAGATAAACGTTTCTAGGTTAACAATGAAGAGGCAAGGTGATGGGACACTATGCACCACACTGACTGATAATGAAAACCTACTGTGTTCACAACTGGCACCTGTCCATCCGTCTTTACACTGGCTGTTGCAGTCACCAGTGTCATGGCGGCAGGACCCTGGTTTACATCCCTCGTTACACTCCCCTGTACAGTTTCGTCCATAAGTTCCGTCAATGCATTCTGCAGATAAAGATGTACATTGTATGTACATAACTTCACAATGTAATTACTAATAAAAGAATGCAAGGAAATCTGAGCACAAATCTCATAGACACATTGTTTGGGCCACTAACGACTACACGTTTACCGCTGATCATGAAAAATTGGCGAGACATAAAGAAAGAAGAAAGATTAAACAACACTGTCCTCCCCACACCTCCCTACCCCAACTGAGTGTCAAGAAAGGACGATGTTATACATACACCAGGACTATAGGGATGCTAATAGTATACTCAAGCAACACAGACACAGCCAGCTATTATTGTGAAACAGTTCCGCCCTTGGCTGTTATCTTAATTCTATTTAGAATTAGAAGTTGGGGGTAGTTAATGCCCGCTTGGCCCATCAGCCACCGCCTTGAGTTCTATGACTATGTTGAATATAAACATATTTCCAGAATGAAGTTTACCAAGCACAGGGCAAGACATGATCAGCCGATGGTAAGAACCGATGTCATTTTAAGACCCGTGTAGGTGAAGTAACGTCAAAGTGGTGACTGGTAAATGAAAACTTACTGTGTTCACATCTGCGACCTGTCCATCCGTCTTCACACTGGTTGTTGCAGTCACCAGTGATGTGGTTGCAGGACCATCGTTTACATCCTGTGTTACACTCCTCTGTACAGTCTAGTCCATAAGTTCCGTCAATACATTCTGTAGATGAAGTAGTGATTTTTACTGTAAGCCTTTCACTCATAAGTGAAAACGAAAGAAATATGTCAGTATTATAAATTGAATTATCGGCTCTCGTCATACATACAACAGTTCAAAGAAAAACGTTTCTAGGTTAACAATGAAGAGGCAAGGTGATGGGACACTATGCACCACACTGACTGATAATGAAAACCTACTGTGTTCACAACTGGCACCTGTCCATCCGTCTTTACACTGGCTGTTGCAGTCACCAGTGTCATGGCGGCAGGACCCTGGTTTACATCCCTCGTTACACTCCCCTGTACAGTTTCGTCCATAAGTTCCGTCAATGCATTCTGCAGATAAAGATGTACATTGTATGTACATAACTTCACAATGTAATTACTAATAAAAGAATGCAAGGAAATCTGAGCACAAATCTCATAGACACATTGTTTGGGCCACTAACGACTACACGTTTACCGCTGATCATGAAAAATTGGCGAGACATAAAGAAAGAAGAAAGATTAAACAACACTGTCCTCCCCACACCTCCCTACCCCAACTGAGTGTCAAGAAAGGACGATGTTATACATACACCAGGACTATAGGGATGCTAATAGTATACTCAACAACACAGACACAGCCAGCTATTATTGTGAAACAGTTCCGCCCTTGGCTGTTATCTTAATTCTATTTAGAATTAGAAGTTGGGGGTAGTTAATGCCCGCTTGGCCCATCAGCCACCGCCTTGAGTTCTATGACTATGTTGAATATAAACATATTTCCAGAATGAAGTTTACCAAGCACAGGGCAAGACATGATCAGCCGATGGTAAGAACCGATGTCATTTTAAGACCCGTGTAGGTGAAGTAACGTCAAAGTGGTGACTGATAAATGAAAACTTACTGTGTTCACATCTGCGACCTGTCCATCCGTCTTCACACTGGTTGTTGCAGTCACCAGTGATGTGGTTGCAGGACCATGGTTTACATCCTGTGTTACACTCCTCTGTACAGTATAGTCCATAAGTTCCGTCAATACATTCTGTAGATGAAGTAGTGATTTCTACTGTAAGCCTTTCACTCATAAGTGAAAACGACAGAAATATGTCAGTATTATAAATTGAATTATCTGCTCTCGTCTTATAAACAACAGTTCAAAGAAAAACGTGTCTAGGTTAACAAAGAGGAGGCAAAGAGATGGGGCACCATGCACCACACTGACTGATAGTGAAAACCTACTGTGTTCACAACTGGGACCTGTCCATCCGTCTTCACACTGGTTGTTGCAGTCACCGGTGATATGGTGGCAGGACAATGGTTTACATCCCGCGTTACACTCCCCTGTACAGTCTCGTCCATATGTTTCCTCAGGACAAACTGCAGATAAAGATGTACATTATATGTACATAACTTCACAATGTAATTACTAATAAAAGAATGCAAGAAATTCTGAGCACAACTCTCATAGACACATTATTTGGGCCACTTACGACTACACGTTTATCACTGATCATGAAAAGTTGGCGAGACATAAAGAAAGAAGAAAGATTTAACAACACTGCCCTCCCCCCACCCCCCTACCCCCCACTGCGTGTCAAGAAAAGGATGATGTTATACATACACCAGGACTATAGGGATGCTAATAGTGTACTCAAGCAACACAGACACAGCTAGCTAATATTGTGAAACAGTTCCGCCCTTGGCTGTTATCTTAATTCGATTTAGAATTAGAAGTTGGGGGTAATTAAGGCCCGCTTGGCCCATCAGCCACCGCCTTGAGTTCTATGACTTTGTTGAATATAAACATATTTCCAGAATGAAGTTTACCAAGCACAGGGCAGGACATGATCAGCCGATGGTAAGAACCGATGTCATTTTAAGACCCGTGTAGGTGAAGTAACGTCAAAGTGGTGACTGATAAAACCTACTGTGTTCACATCTGGGACCTCTCCATCCGTCTTTACACTTGCAGTCAACGGTGACGTGGTTGCAGGACCCTGGTTTACATCCCGCGTTACACTTTCCTGTGCAACCTGGTCCATATGTTCCGACATCACAACCTGCAAATGAAGTAGTTATTCCTACCGTAAGCACTGCCAGGCGTGACTAGTAGACCCACTCAGGCAAAAGGTGCTTACATCTCATTTTCTATATAATATAGCATTATTTTTATCACTGGGTGTACTGCCCTCTCACCATCGATCAATGGCAGTTAACAGAATAATGTGCAAAATCTTACAAAGTTATGAATGAATAGGGAAAATACTGTATGTGTTTGCAAACTGCACGACATAAACTATCGGGCAGACCCATGTTTGATGGTTGCTAATAGGAAAAAAACCATATCACACAAATGAATACGAAATAAGACAACAGTAATGTATAAAGTCTGACACGCACGTGTTGCACATCGAGGTCCTTTCCACCCCGACACACAGGTACAGAGCCCGTTATTAGCGTTACAAGTCCCAGGCTCACATCCAGCACCACACTCTACACAGTCACGTCTATCCATGTAATAGCCGTCCTCGCATTCTGTAACGTAAATGGTTGAGCGACGAATAACGCATGTTTTTTTATGGTATGGGTTGTTATATTGTGTTATAAGCTCTCAGTAAATTCACATTTATATGATAATATTCCTGGACATGAAACACGAACAGAGAACACACCAAAAGCCCAGACACTCCGTCACGTCTATCCATGTCTATCTATTCCCGCATTCTGTAACGTAAATGATTGAGCGCCGAATAACGCATGTTACATGAAGTCATGTGACGTTAGATTGTGTTACACCTGGTATCATCAGCATTTGATACTGATGCTAAAACACATGCATATGATCTAGTCTAAATCGTACAATGCACTTTTGATAATTGAAAGTGTTTTGTCGATTTTTATTGATATGCATTTATTAAATCAACACAAAATTCCTGTACACGTACAGAGAACAATCCAAAAGTATGATGTTTGTGAAGTCCAGTCATATCTCAGCCAGCAATAATCAACGATGGGCGTCGTCAAAGAGACTAATGACCATTTTAGGATGACAAGATATTTCTTTCTAATCCGTTTAATGCTATTGTGATTACTTATTAAAGGAACATTGTCAGAAGGATTAACATTAACTGCAGTTGTGAAAAATAATAACTTAGAATTCTAAAAAAAGGAAAAAAGAATGCTCTGGTTGCCTCGTTTCCCCTAGTAATAGTGATGGAATACGCAAGGATTGTCCCCAAATGCAGAATTGGACAAACGGGTAGACATGTACGTGGTCCGGAACTGCCCTTGACACGCCGTATCCAATATTGTAACATAAAGAGTGTCTTTGACCCCTCATGGCTCTTATTTAATCTTGTTGAAGCTAACATTCTTTCACAAAATAGACACTATGAATGTTGTGAAAATGACGTCAAATATGTACCTTATAAATATAACACCTATCCTCTATTAATTACGTTGCAGTCGATAAAACAAGAAATTACAATAAAGAATGTAATAATATAATTGGTGTGTCACTTTTGTTATTCGATAACATAACGAATACAAAAAATAGTAGAGAGGAGATTAACACATGAACAACAAGAAAACAATATTTCAAAGACAGTACTTACTGTTGCATCTAGTTCCCGTCCAGCCAGTTTTACATTTGCAGTGGCCGTCATTGCCATCACAAACTCCATTACATCCAGCTCCACACTGTGTACAGTCTTGTCCATCTCCGTAATAGCCGCCATTGCATCCTGGAATTTAACACATGTTTAATGTTGACTCCGAATGAATTATAAGTGGGCTGTCGTTGATAAATGAGAATGTTTCGAAACACCATTAGCGTTGTTCGATTAGCTTGCTGTAAAGTTTGATAATGTACAACATCCTCGAACTTCCCTCAAATATGACATCAGTTTCCCAGCACCGTGATATCTGTGGTTGAACAAATAGTAATTCCCAACTCAGTTACCGGATTACATCGTGAAACCACGCGTCTCCCAATAACAAACTAAGGACAGACAACCCTCACTACCATAACATTCAATGTGTTGACCTATTATTTCAAATCGTCAGGCAGCATTGACTCCAACCTTGAATCGATATCTATACTCAACAACAAAAGTTCCTGTGACAACCATATTGTAGTGTATTTTTCAAAGAAGTTAAATTTGGTTTTCATTATAGGAGTACATGTATAGAATCAAGTCACAAAAACGCAACTGCTACAGAAAAGCATGCATTCCATGCAAAAGTTGACTTTTATGCAAGCCCCGTGCATTTCACTACCCAAGAATGGGTATAAAAACATGTGCGTTAATGGGATTCCATATGCATTGTTCAGCATCGTGCTAAAATGAAAATGAGCGTCTGTGAGCCATTGCTATGCTTGAAGCAGGATCGAGTCAACGTGATGTCGCAAGACAATTTAACATCCACAGAAACACCATTTGGTGTTTATGGAAACGTTGGCAACAGACGAATGCAGTCAAAGACCATCCTCGGAGTGGCAGGCCAAGCGTAACCAATAATCGACAAGACAACTGGATTCGAACAACACACCTACAATATCGATTCCAGCCAGCAACAGTGACTGCAAGCAGCATCCCTGGCCTTCGACGAATATCTTGACCAGCCGTACGTCGATGCCTCAGATGTGGAGGGATTGTCGCGAGAAGACCCACCAGACGTCTCATTTTGACAGGAAACCACCGTCAAGCACGTCTACAGTGGTGCAGACAGCTTCTACGCTGGACGGCCATGCAGTGGGGACAAGTTCTATTCACTGACGAGTCTCGTTTTCACCTCAGCCACAGCGATGGACGGATTCGAGTGTACCGACGTCGAGGTGAACGTTACGTCAATCATTGTGTCATGGAAGAAGATCGGTCCGGGGGCGGCAGCGCTATGGTATGGCATGGGATTACAGCAAGACAGAGAAACCGTTTGATAGTGGTAGAGGGAAATTTCAATGGACAGCGCTACCGCGACGAGATCTTGGCCTTGTTGTTCTACTGTTTTTGCGTCGTCATGGCCCAGGCATTACCTTTCAACATGACAACCCCCTGCCTCACATTGCTCGACTTGTTCAGGAATCTCTTCAACTAAACAACGTGAATGTCATCCACTGGCCGGCTCGCTCCACTGATCTCTCACTAATTGACTCCAGGAACTTTAAAACATGCTCCAGCAGATATGGACAGATATCCCACAGGGCTTTGTGCGACGCCTGGTCCATTCAATGAGACGAATATGTGTTGCTTGCATCGGAACCAGAGGTGGACACACACGCTATTGATTTGTAATGTTTTGGCGTGTTCATGATTTTTTTTAAATCACGCATTTTCTTAAGTCAGTATGGCAAATTAAACCATTTGAACACTTACAGGAGTCTTTTATCTGTTGCAAACCGAAATTGTTTCAGATTTGGTAAAAAAACATAACTTTGCATTAAATCTTATTCAATGTCACAGGAACTTTTGTTGTTCAGTATATTACACAAAATGTATACCAGTTGTAAACTGTCTTCCAGATATTTCCAAACAGAACATGTTTTTTTAAAAGCCAACACTCATTACGTCCTTTGTCACAATGCCAGAAGATCTGTGTTTACTAATAGTTGGTCTTTCCATATCAAAATGTTTAAGTAATGACTACGCGATTTCAAATCCGTAAATATTGCTAATAGTATATAAATCAACTACTTTGAGGCTTTGCTTGGGATTACATACACGAGGCAATGCAGGAAACGTTCATCCCCGAAAAGAAAAACTAATATGTATATTATTTCCTAACAAAAGACACTGCAGTGTGGGAATTATGCTTAAATCTAGACTAGGTTAAGCTACTCATAACTGTGGCAGATAGCCTACAGACATAACTGAAGGAATTCATAATATTGCAAAACAGTCATGAAGAAATATGAATATGTATGTGTTTTTATTACATTTAAGCCCAGGGACAAGGCGATGCAAGAATCCATATTGTTAACGAGTGTGCGAGTTAATGCTTCTGTTCGTAATAAGAGTGTAGGAAAGGTAAACCAATGGTTCC